TTTTTTTTTTTTTTTTCAGTTTTTGGCTGAGGCCAAGTTTGAACCTGCCACCTCCAGTATATTGGGCCAGCACCCTACTCCTTTGAGCCATAGGTGCCACCGTATTTCTTGTAACTTCCATCTCTCACAGCCAATCTGAGGCCCGACTCAATGTTTTTATGGGCTGAGAGCCACCTCTCAAAGCACATGACCTATAAGCTGTAGCTCATAGGAGGGAAACAAGGGTGAATCCATACAGGACCTATCTTGCCTTGCCGCTTTACTCTTAACTGCTCGGATTTTCTCTCATGTGAGCTTTAATCATTACTCCAGGGTCTAAGGCTGGTTTCTCACACAAGAAACAGAAATGTATCTAAGTTCAGGGATGGAAAGGTGAGATGCATTCACAAATAATGGCAGGCACTTTTCAAATGCCAGGCACACTGCTCTGAATAAAACAAAATCCTTGCCTTCATGGAGTTTACATTCTTTCCTACACTAGTGAGACTTCAGGAATGCAAAATGAAATCACACTTAGCCTTACATAAAATATACAGTAGAAAAACTCAACAAAAAAATTTGAAAGAAAGGAAAAAGGAAACAAAGTCATTTGAGACTTTCAAATTACCCCTGCTACAAAAGTAGGTGAAATGAAAACAATTTTATAGAAAGAAAAAACAAACTCCAAGCTTCTTTAACCACATGATACTGCTCTACTCCACCTCTCAAAGCCCTTCCCTTGTTTCCAGGGCAGTTGACAACTCCCACTGTTTCTAGGGCATATTTGTGCCCCTGCAAAGGTTCTTTGTTCCAGGTAGTCAAACCAACCCTGTCCTGCACACTTCACTGGTAACCAACAATGAGTGCCATCAATTTGAAGCAGAAAACTAGGATGTAGGCTAATACTTGACTCTTCTTGCTGCCTGGCAAGTTAGCATCACAACTGATAATGAAAGGCTAAGCCTTAGGGACAGAGGCTCTTGCCCTGATCTCTATAAACAACTACACTTCACCCACACACACTGGAAGAATGTTAACATGAAGGGAAGAGGCTCAGCACTCATAGCACAGGGGTTACGGTGCCAGCCACATACACCTAGGCTGGCAGGTTCAAACCCAGCCCAGGCTAAACAACAACTACAACCAAAAAATAGCCAGGTGTTATGGCAGACACCTATAGTCCCAGCTACTGTGAGACTGAAGCAAGAGAATCCCTGAAGCCCAAGAGGTTGAGGTTGCTGAGCTGTGATGCCATGGCATTCTACCAAGGGTGACAAACTGAAACTCTGTCTCAACAACAACAACAAAAAAAAAATGGTAAGAAAATGTGGAATAGAAAGCTCTGAAGAGAGCTTCTTTCAGCAAATGAACACTCTAAATTGAAGCATTAGAGGAAATACCTCTTCTAAGACAAAAGATGTTTTGCTGCTAGGATAATTTTCCCACAACAGTATTTTTAGGATAGAGAAACTGCCTAGGTCTTTGGAATCTGAATTCTGATGACATTTCTCCAGGACATAACATGAAAATGCTTAAGAAAGATATTCCTGCCCATCTTCCCTCATTGCCTTCTCTCCATTTCCCATAGCCTACAAACCAATCTAGACAAGTTCCTGACTGCATAACCAAGCATTTCTCAGGAAGCTGGAATCATCTTTAATACTTGACTTCACCCTGTTGGAAGTGAGAGTAACAGCAGGGAGAAGACAGTTATAAGCAGGGAAACAAAGACCAAACCAGACTGCCATAAATAACCAAGGACTTAACAGAGTCCTGGGCCGTACAATATGACCTGCTGTGGCCAGTGATAGGCCAAGAGACTAGATATTGATTGTCCTTTTTGAAAACCCTACCCAGTTCTTAGAGGAAGGGGATGGAACAGTTAGTTGTCCTTGTCCTATTTCCTCCTTGACTTTCTTTGTGGGGAAGGGAAGAAGACACTGTAGTACACAATGTTGCTTGGGAAAATGGATTATTCTAATAAAACTTTATTTTTTCAAACACAGCCACAGAGGCAGAACCTCATGTTTAACACACACAGACTTATGGATTTTTTTTTTAATATAAAACAAAGTTTACGAAATTTTTTTTCCACTTTTTATACTCGTAATCCCATTAGCACAGGGACTTTGGCAGCAGGTGGGAGTGAAGGGCAGCTAGGGCTGCCACTGGGCAGTCACCGGGCACAGGAGGAGAGCACCAGCCTGGGAGTAGCTTCACTCACACACACAGGAATACTCACCTACTGGCCAGCCACACCACACACACAGTACAGATGCAGACATCTACCCAGCATCAGCCACAAGCCCTGGAGGTGTACTCCACTCTGGGTAAGCCCAATATGTGAAAATCCAAATAGTAAAAACAGCTAAAGAAGAGGGAAATTGCCTGCTTTACAAAAGAAGCAATCATAGCCTGCTTTTAAATGTTTAGCAGTCCAAATGCATTAAAAAATAGCATTTGGTTTATACAGAACTTTTGGAACAGATCTATTGTGTAAAGCAAAATGAACCACTTCTTGAAAAGGCTTGTTCCAGGGCCATGAATTCTTACATTGGGAAGCAAGATGATAGTTCTGATAGTCTAACTTTCTGTACTTAAATTAATGGAATTAAAATAGTAACTATAGACGTTCTCCCCGAAGGATGGTGCCCTAGGGCTTTGGGGAAGCCAGGATAGAGGAAGAATTACTGCCCTCACTTCAGTTTAGGGCCTTCAGAGACCCCACTGGCATTGCCAGCAGCCTACTGGAAGCTGGCAGAGCCAATCTATAGCAGAGAGACCAGGGATAAGGATGCCCCAGGAGGAAAAAGATGCTGGCACCAGAGAACAATATGGCCTAAAGAGGGAGAAGAGCCAGGGAAGGGATGAAACCAAAGATGTACCGGTAACTCCTGGGCTCACAGTTTCCCTAGATTCTCAAAAGAGCCTCTCTCAGGCCCCTAGAAACCTGGAAGCTCAGTGGTTAACTAGCCAAGGGATGGGGAAGAGCCCTGGAAGAGTAGAGCCTCTAAGGGCCAGAAGCTCACAAAGACGTGGCCCCCTCCTCTGGAGTAGAGAAAAGGAGGCTGAAGCCTCACTGATGCTCTTATCTGATATGTGGGAGACCTAGAAAACATCAGGTTCAATTCCATGAAGATCTGCCTTATGCGGAATCGGGTCCTAAGATACCCATGAAATTGAAGAGAAAAATACCATTCTTATAATAAACAACAAGGGCAGGTCTAATTTGGTCATTTGGCCAGAGCTGTACAAAGCCTCACAAGCTATTGTGACAGCAGCTTCAGTGTATTTCTACCGGT